GCCCTCAAATGGGTTGCAGCATCTGCCCTCTGCCCTCTCGTGTTCGAAGGGGCAATGTGCCGAGGCGTTGCAGGTTTGTAATTCTGATGGTACCGAACATGAATGGCACTCAGAACACTTCGCGTCGGACAAATGGTCCCAGGCAGGCATGTACTTCAATATGCTCAAATTCACAGTACTTTCTGAGTGGTCCTTAAGGCCGCTCGGTGCCGAGGGGGGCCAATGGTTTTTCATGGGGAGTGGTTTCGAATAAGGGTATGAAGGGATAGCCTGAGCTCAGGGCTCACATCCTGGCAAACGAGGCATTGCGTCTTGCTATCTACGGGTGCAGATCTGCTGGCTGGCGCGTTGAATTCGAAACCCTACCTGCAAACCCCCAAAATGCCACGTAACTACAGCCTCGGGTGAACTCTACAAAAACTCGGGGATGCGGGGCGGCAATGTTGACCGAGACAAGCAAAATGGCAGGTGCTCCGATCAGGATGACACTTGGCTGCTCTTGGGAATCAGAGCTTTCATGGGACCATGTAACTGAGGGCTCATGAAGTGCCCGTGGAAGCTTCCACATCGCGGGACTTTGCCTTAGGGGTGCTAGCTACGGTTTTGAGCCCGATTGAAGAACTGACTTGGCACATCGGTTTCTTCACAAGCAGCTCTGAGGACTTCGTGCCATTCTCCGAGCTCTTTCCTCACCCGCTTGTCCCGCCGCTTCGCCGGCAGATGGCTCGAGAGTTGTGGGAGATGCACCGGGGGCTAAAGACACCGTCTAGCCATCACTGGTCCGATTCGCAATCATCGAATGATCCCCGCATATTGGAAGGAACTGCAAACCTATAGGACTAGCAGAAGGCCGCAACCCCCACCCTAAACACCACAACCTCCATAAACCCTGTACAATCCCTATGTCAACCCTCAAACCCCCCTGCCCCAGGTTCCAGAGCTACCCGAAGCGGGTCCCGGCAGGGGGCAGGCCTTACCTGGGCTGTTTTCTGCGTTTCAGCTGATGAGGTCGAAACAGGGCTTGGCCTCGGGCTGTTTGCCCGTGACCCTTCTTGCCAGAGTGAGTTCTAGGCTGCGGTTCGTCGAGGCTGTAATCTGTTCTGAAAGTTAGGCAAGCACGGGCATGATTTGCACCGTCCCAAATGAGCTTCTCCGCGGTGTCCCCAGCATCCTAAACCTTGTCCATGGGACAGCATTCGGATGACCCTTCCTTTTCTCCTTCCTTCTCGTGCTTTCTCCTTTCCTGCTTTCCCCTTAGAATAAGGGGCGGTACTGGGGTTATCAGGGCCAATGCTGAGCACGGGGCTACGGTGAAGTTTTTGGGATGGATTTAGGATTCTCAATTCTCACTTGGAAGTTTGAGAGGAGAAATGAACAGACCCTCAGCGAAGAAGAGGGAGGTGTGTGTTTGTGTGAGCGTATTGAGTTCTATCGGGTGACGTATGGAGCTTGGAGGCCCCTCAAGGTTGATAAGTGGGAGGTGCAGATTCTTGATTTCTTGAATTTTTGAGAGCTCAGAAGTCAGTGTTTAGGGGATCCTTTTGCTACAGAGCCCTCAAGTTCAGCACTGTTCGACCTAGAGCTTGGGCAGAATTGATGGTGTTGCTCGCTTTTGCCTTCCTCTATCAGCGCAGCTGCCCGGCGCTAGCTTGCTTGTCGGCCCTCTGCCAGGCGGTGAGGAAGCTGGTTCCTCGAGCCGGTGTGAGTGTGTGGCATTCTGCCTCTTTCATCTTCGGATTTGCTTGGCTATCGTTAGAGTGAAGTTCCGAGGGACCAGGGACCAGGGGGCAAGGGGACCTGCGGCTATATCTACCGGGCGAAGCCGCGGAAGGTTCAAGGGGCTCCATCCAACCAGCAGAACGTAGGCTAAGATTGAGTGAGGGTGTTAGGTGTATGGCCCTGCATCCTCGCCGAGCCAAAAGTGTATCGGATATAGAGTAGAAGCAATCCGAAGATGTGGCCCGACTTGTGCTACTAACATGAGTCGAGGGTGGAGATCCCGTCTAGCCCTTTGCCAGAACTCTGCAAGTGCAACCAACAACCAATCGAGGCCGGAAACTCCCTGCAATATGGGCAAAACATGAGATCGGTCTCGGGGACAGGCTCTGCCCTTCGACACCACAGCTCGCGCGGACTTTCCTGCCCCCGGAAGATCACATTCTCCAGCTCATGTCGGGGGTACGGAGAGTCCGCGCATCCGCACATCTCTTACGCTCCTTTGGGGCCTCTCGTCCACTGTGCCGGTAGAGCCCGGAAAGTGGAGCTTAGGGTTCAGAGGGTGATCATCGTAGCTGACAGGGCTTCAGGGTTTCGGAGGAGTCTCGAAGTCGCGACCCACTTTTGATGTGGTAGCCTTTGGAGCAGATGGTCTCGTCACGCTCGCAAACTGGTCTCGTGTAGAGGCCTTATCGATGTTTAAGGGGATGAGAAGGGTACACGGTGTCAGGATGTTCGGAGGTTCGCTACACTAGCTGAGGGCTAGACTGCCCTAGCAAGAAGCTATTTTTGGAGGGTGGTTTATCTGCAGCCCCAAGCCCTGCAAACTAGCAGGTTATGTAACTTATCATCCCCTCAGAACCGCCACCCCTCCCTCTCCACGGTAGGGATCGTTCTTTGTTTTGAGTGTTGAAGGTGTAGCTGTGAAGGCTGTTTTGGAGAGACCCTTCGAAGCTATCGTATTTGACATGACGATTTGGGTTCACCTTAAGCTCGTGCCACGCGCAAAGGTTCTACCTTTGCCGCAAGAACATCGTGTGACAGTTATTTGCTCGGATTTTTGCGCTGTCACTCTACTTACCTTGAGATGAGGACCCCTCAACCCCAACAGGGCTCTTCCGGCTATAGTGTCCACGGGCCATGTACAAGCAGAGCGACAGACCAAAGGGGCCTGAAGACTGCTTGAACTGGCCGCGGCTCATGGCCTCATTCGCTTAATTTTTGATTCTGGGTCTTCGTTGCGGTAGGTTTGGTTCACGGTTTTTTGGGTTCAGGGTTTTTAGGTTTTCATGGCTCATTGCCTCTCTCTTCACGAAGGGAGCTTGCTCCACATGCCAGATATTGACAAGACAGAGATCCGAAGTCTGGCACGGTGCAGCCTCCTCCTTTCCGTCCCTTCACTCAATGGAAGGCCTGTGCCTCTCCTATATTCGTGTACCGGTGCGCCAACCTGCCATTTCCTTCCATGTTGCAGTAGCTGCAGTGGAGCACGCAAGCGCCGTTGCTTTACCCCTCCACCATGTACAGTGGCTGTCCTTCTTTGCGAGGTGCAGCCCTCTGGGGCCCTTCAGGGCCTCTCTTGTGTCCCTAACGGGCCCAGCGATTTGCGCAGGGGGGAGGCCAGAAAGCCAGAGGCTTGTCGTTTTCAAGCTTCGGCGCGCATGCTTGCACCGCAGATTTTGGTGACTTCCGATTTCGGCAGGCTGTACAGAGCTGAGGAGGCTTCGACTGGAGGCCTCGTCAGTTCGCGACACCGGACCTAGTAACTAGTGGAGTTTGAACCGAGGAGTTTGTAATTCGCCTGTGCGGCACGGAGGCGTGAAGTTGCCTCCATTAAAAGCCGCCCCTCAAGAGTTCGATATTTATGGCCTTGCGGAAGGCCACAAATTCTCAAGATTCTCACCCCCTCTGGGTCCCGGACCCAGGTCGGGACCTTGGGGAGCCCACAGCACCCTGCACACATCCCCGCACCCTGCGACGAGGTATGCGGGACCCAGACAGAAATCAAAAAAAACAGATTTTGCCACCAGTTTCTCAGCGAGGCTGGCGAGCTGGGAAGGAGTGGCCATCCTCGGGACAGACGAGAGCCCTAAGGGTTCAGAAGGGTTCAGAAGGGAAACTGAAGAAACGCTCTGATAGTTATGATAGTTGCCTCTGCCAGCGCTTGGCTTATTCCCTGAGCCCTTGTGGGCACGGTTTTCCTGTCCTCCTCGAACAGAGCGAGGGGCCTGCTCCATTCAGATTGCCGGGAGAGTTTGAGCAGTGCTCTTGTGTGTAACCCCCTCAGACACTTCGGGGACCGGGACCATCAAGCGAATCAAGGCGCCCTTGGAGATGTTTGGACGGGGGAAACACGTAGTGACGAAGTACTTGCGTGGGGAGTGGAAGGGCCTTCGCAGAGCTGCCCAGCTACACTAAGGGCGGCCCGCTTCACAAGCCACCTTTTCGCGACCCCTGCAAGTAGGCCTGCAGGGTAGACCGGTACCCTCGAGGGCCTTGGAGCGTATCAGTGGACCGTCCACAGGTGAAGTGGTTTACTGCCACTGTCGACATGGCTTCACAGACAAGGCACATGATTGTGCAAGACCGCTCAAAAGAAGCCTGTGCCGTCCTCTGTCCTTGCCCGCCTTGCCCCTTGCCCCGTTGGAGCCCTACTAGGACCCAGAGTAGGCCCTCATTATCTTTCTTTGGGGTTTAGGTTCCCTCATATAAGCCCTTTTACACAGGTGCCCTCTTACTTCCTAGGTTACTTTTGGGCTTAGCCTACGAGCACATCTGCACACTGTGATCTTAAGGCGTGACAAAGCTCTGCCCCATCCGCCATCCACTAGCCCCTGAAGCGGGACTTCCTTGCTGTTCACATGAAGTGACCGCAAAAGTAGCCGCAACAAGCTGTGCGATAACTGAGCACCCCATTGCAGGTGCTTGTAGAGCGATTGTCATTGCCATTGCTTCTGCTATCGCAAGCCATGTGATATCGTTGAAGCCTTTCCCTGATTGTGTGGCTCCTTCGGCTCTTTTTGCTACACGATTTCGCACCGCAGCTGGGGCGAGCATCAGCAGGCATCCTCCTACAGTTCTGCTGAGGTTTCAGATATCTTTGGGGCACGTGACTTCTGGACACGAAGTGCCCTCTATTCTAAAGTCGACTACTTCAACCCCAAGCCCTACAAATTAGCAGGCTGCAGCCCACCCTCTAGCTCGTCAGCAATTGTAGCCTCCCATCCCCTCAAACGTCCATTCAGCAACATGCCACAGGCGCCCCTGAGAAGAGCGCAGCAATCATGGCGCCAGGGCTTCAGAGGGTCGGTTGCATCCTGCCACCTAGACCTCAGCCTGCATAAAAAACTCACCGGCCCTTTGAACCCGAAGACCTGCAGAAGAGGTGTTCTTTCAGGGTTTGAAAACTCTGCTTAGCTTAGCTTTGCGGAGTAGGAATTTTATAGGCCATGTATTCGGATGCTCGAGGTCGCACTTGAAGCACCCTGTAGGCTTACATGCCAAGTCTTCCTGTACGTCTTGGGGGATGAAGGCTTGCACATACCGAGGTCCGACACAGCGGTTCTAAAGGACATCGCTTCGAGGCGCCCTTGCATGCATGTGAAGAGTTTTAAGGTGCGACTTATAAGGTATGTAGGGTTTCAAAGGATCTGTTCGGCGCCATCTTTGGCTATAGCATCGGTGCACGCAACAGTCACTGCGACAGGTTGTCAGACGACACGTCGCAGAATTCGTCCCTTGCCTTGTCGCAACTTGCACTGCCCCAAACCCACACCGGTCTGGTCCTCAAGCACCATCCCCACCCTAAAGCCTTCAAGCCCTCATCGTGGTCTTCAACCACGCAAGAATACAAACCCTTAACCAAGGCTTTGTAGGAACCTGCCGCTAGGTTAGAGGTGCTCACGGTGGAGCTGCTGGACGCCAGCCAGGTCTGGTTGTGGGTGCTAAACAAGCACCCAGAACTTGACCCCCCTAGGAACCTTCCCAAACCCAAAGGCCTCAAACTTCCATCCTCTTCTCGTGTTTGACGCGGTCCTTGTGAAGGATGCTTTCTTAGGGTCGATTTGTCCTAGTAACTAGTAGGATTTAGGGGATGGTTGAGGGTTTAGGGTGGAGTGTTGTCGCGCCTAGATGGAGACCCCAGAGCTCGTGGTTGCCGAACAAAGAGATTCTCGGGGCCGAAGCACAAATCGGTCACAAATTTCGGAATCATCCAGCCTGCCGTCGCAGACAAGGAGATCTTTTTCCAGACTCACGGAGCCGAAGACCTCAACATTTTTTGCAATAACAGAACTCGCAAAGGCCTCCGTGCCCGATGCCCTCACCCAGCCGTCCCTGGAGCTGCTGAGCGAGCAGAAGCAGGCATTGCTTAAGCGTCTCTTCGTGGCTTCCGGCTGTGGGGGGGAAGGGGGGGGGCGGCAGAATGGATCTTGCAACGTTGTCCTGCTATTTTCTTGCTGCTTTCGTCTTGCTATGGCAAGTGCTGCTTGCCAGCGGCGATGTAGGTCTCCTTGTTGGTTTTACAGACCCCAAGCCCTCAGTCACCAGCTGCGACACTCCTTTGAATATTCAAGAAAGCCAGACAGTCAGGTCGTCTACGACCTGATCGGGGCCACGGCACAGCGCAGTGACCCCGGACCCGGTTTCGACATGGGCATTTTGCGCTAGACGGTATACGCCTTTTTTCTGGCTGGGCCTGTAGAATTGTGGGGGGATTCAAAGCAATGCATCTACTCGGAGAAAAGGCCCATATTGGGTGAATGCGGCGGGATGTGAGAGATCTAAGAGTGTAGGTTCTTTCAACCGCTAGAAGCCTTAGCCAAGCCACCCAACCCATCCTGTGTACCGCAGCAGGCTCTCTTTCGAGCAGCATCTCATCAGAGACTTCGGTGTTGGAGGCCAGCAACCAATTGTATCTTGGGGCGTCGCTAACAAACGAGGGGTGCAGGTTCCCTTGGAACCCAAGCAGTCTTGGAGTCATGAAGCGGGACACAATGTGGGACCAGCGCACACAAAGAATTGCACCTGAGAAGGGAGGTGAAGGAAGAGGGAGGTGAGAAGAAAAGGGTGGGAGTGAATGGAGTGACCGGGATGGGAGAGTCATGATCTGTGTTTAGTTTAGTGAGTGACATGCGACCCATCTTACAGGGGCTGGTCAGGTTGCGTATCGTCACAAGTTATATGGATCTGAAGAATCCCAATCTTGTAGCTGAGGTCTTCAAGTGCAAATATCCGTGGATGTACCGGGGCTTTGGATGTTATCGCATGGATGTCTTCGCCCTGCGAAAGTTTAAACCTCAGGTGGAGATCGCAGAGCTGGCAGGAAGCCGAGCACACCCCACCCCCCCCAAACGGACCACATCCTTCAGTCGACAACTAACCCCCCTATAATTGCTTGAAGGGTCTAGGGTTTAGAGTTTGGATGCATTGAGAGCTTAGGGATGTGTAGCCATACACGCTTGCGCAGCAACCTTACCAACCATGCCTTCGGCAAGTCTGCAATATAAAGTTTGCTGTCAGAGAGGCTGCAAACACTCGTCCTTGTCTACCTCTGTTGTCTAGACCACAAAATCTCAAGGATTTGAGCTGCGAGCCCAAATGCTCGTCAGGGTGTGGGTACTTTTGTGTAAGAAGTCGGAAGTGCCCGCCGCTCAGGTCAAGCATCAAATCCAAGAGTTGGCGATCGAGGGTGGGTGGGCAACTTAAGCAGCCCTCCTTGCTGTCAGGCCTTAAAGACCTTAAGAACCGAAGGCTCTGAAGGTGTGCTAATCTGATGCTAGCAACTTCCTCAAACAGAGCCGCAATGTCGAGTCTTCTTTCTTATCCAGAACATGCCACAACCTTCCTGGGGATGCATGAGTCATGAGTGCAAGCGGATGGCATATAACTTCGGTGTCCCCCCTCCGGGGCAGCGTTCACACATTGCAGGGTGCAACAACACATAGGTAGAGGCTACAGTAGGTTGGCGCTATATAGGCCATTGTCCATACGGGCATTGGATTCTGGCTGTACGAGTACTAGCCCTAATTGTTAGTGCTTAGGTCGCCAAGCCCCCTATCAATCCTACAGTTGAAGGATCTTGTGCTTCATGCTTGGTTTATTGATGTTTTTTCTAGGGTAGGGTATTTTTTTGTGTTTTTTTCTGTTTTTTTTGTGGTTTTTTCTGTTTTTTAAGCAAGAAAGAAAGAAAGACAGAAAGAGAGAAAGAAAGAAAGAAAGAAAGAAAGAAAGAAAGGAAGGAAGGCAAGACAGAAAGAAAGAAAGGAAGAAAGAAAGGAATAAAGAAAGGAAAGAAAGAAAGAAAGAAAGAAAGGAAAGCAAGACAGAAAGAAAGAAAGAACTAAAGAAAGAAAGGCCGAAAGAAAGGAAAGCAAGACAGAAATAAAGAAAGAAAGAGAGAAAGAAAGAAAGAAAGAAATAAAGAGATAAATAAAGAAAGAAGGAAAGCAAGACAGAAAGAAAGAAAGGAAGAGAGAAAGAAAGAAAGAAAGAAAGAGAGAAAGAAAGAAAGAAATAATGAGATAAAGAAAGAGAGAAAGAAAGAAAGAAAGAAAGAAAGAAAGAAAGAAAGAAAGAAAATAAATAAAGAAAGAAAGACAGAAAGAAAGAAATAACCCCCCCCCCCAGCTTTGTTTAAGCCGTGCAAGCTTGCCTCAAAGCATATGCCATATGCACACTTTTGCGGAAACCCATCGTGCGAGAATCGTCACATTTTCGGAAACCCATCATGCGAGAATCGTGTTTGCAAATGGGGGGGGCTGCGCCCCCCCGCTTTCTCAAGCCGTGCAAGCTTGCCTCAAAGCATATGCCATATGCACACATTTTCGGAAACCCATCATGCGAGAATCGTGTTTGCAAATGGGGGGGGGCTGCGCCCCCCCCAACCCCCCGCTTCCCGCAACACACCCTACACCCTAAACCCTAAGCCGTAGTTCCGGACTGAAGGGGCAATGATACGAGGAGCAACCTTGACCCCGCAAACCGTAGAGCCTAATAAGACCCAAACCGTCCACCATAAGCCGCAAATCCTGATAGAATGTTTGCGGCCTACATGCGCAGTAAGCCCTAAACCGAAGCAAAGTTTCAGATTGAAGCATCCGAGGTTCCTCTTGAACCAGCCCCGGACGTTAACTAGCTTTTGAGTCCTGTCGGGGCCAACGATGGCCGCCCCGACGCTCCAAGCGCGAGTTGCAAAAGGACGAAGGGTTGGACGTAATGTGTTGTTGTAGCACGTTGAGATTTGGACCTGTTCCGGACACGCGGTGCTGCTGAGAGGCCATCGGAAGCTGAAAACCAGCAAAATTCACCAAAAAAACCAGAAAAACACACAGAAAAGAATTCCCACCAGAGGAGGACGACAGGCAGAACCAGGAGGGCATGTTCTGAAAACCCCAAGAAAAGCAAGAAAAAACAAGAAAACTCACAAAAAAAAACCAGAAAAATTGACAAAAAAAACCCTCGCTCCTTTTTTCTACTCCATCCCATAGGGGTTACGTGGCTGCGTCGAGGCCTTGGCACAACCCGCCGGCGCTCCGCCGTTTCCGCGAGATGGGTCAGGCCTGCTGAAGAGGGTGAGACATGTTTTGGTTCACCAGGTTAAGTTATTATTTCGGCTTTCCGGTTGGTTTGGAGATTGGTGCGGTTTTGGGTGCTAGGGGCCTGGGTGTTGGGAGGGTTTAGGAGCGAGAGATGTTTGTGGGTGGCATGGGCTCCTATGCCAGAATGGGCCCGATGAGCCGAGGCAAGAAGGAGCTCGGGTCTTCCATGCTTTGATACACCTGAGCTACAATCTCGGCTCATCCCAACAGCGCAGCGAAACTGTGCAACTATCCTCCTGAACCCCATAACGACCCAGCACCCGAGTCGGAAGCCTCCATAAACATCCCATAGCACCCTCAAGCAAATCCTACAAACCCGAAGCCCTACCAACACCACCTCCACCCTGTGTTCCCTTCCTGCGCCGCCGCTTCAGTCCCTCCCCCCCCCCCCCCCAGGCGGTGTCCAAGAAGCTCCAGCAGCTGGCGGAGTCCAGGCCACGCTCTGGCGCCAAGGAGCCGAAGAGCCGAGCTCCGGGGTTCAGGGATTTGGAGACTTGCATGCGGGGATTCCGACAGTAGGGGTAGCCTGGGGTATAAAAGGGGCACCCCGTTTCTCAGAATCTCCGCCGGTGAACTGAAAAGCTGCCGGCGGGCTGTAGTCACGGAAAGAGTCGATAAAAAAGGAGTCGATACCAGGATTCGCGAACTGCCCCCAAAATCCCCAGAGCCCCAAAACCCCTGTCCCTCTTAAGCTCCCAAAGGCAACATAACAGACTCCTCCGGACCCAAGAGTAGTCTTTACATAGTATGAATGTCAACGGCGTTCAGAAGAATTACTCTGCCGCGCAGGCCACATGAAATCCGTGAAATGGAGGTTTTTGCCTTTCTACTTCGCAGTACAGTCATCGGCCTTGAGTTCACGGTAGCCCCCAGGTGGTTTGAAGCTATATATTCCTTGGATGAAATCTAATCCGTACGCAGGAGGCCTCCCAGGGACCAGCCGTACCCAGCATGGCGGCGGGCAGCTCAGGTATTGTTTGGGTTAGTTGGGGTTAGCAGTCGAAAGAGGGCCCAGGGGGTTCCTTCGAAGATCGGGATTCAGTGATTCAGGGTGGTTGCTTTTCTTCACCACGGCAGGCTTGTTTGGGTGCATTTTTTGGCCCCGACATGTCCGGCAGATGGCCGCGTTCAGGACAGCAGCCAAAGGAAGTGTCAGGCTGTTACTAAAGCAGGGTTCTAAAGTCTGCCTGGTGTTTCTTCCGACCGTTTAGCTACAGCTCGCGATTTGTCGCAACCAGTTGTCACGCCATGTGTCGCGACTTGCGAAAGCGAAATAATTAATTGACCCCTTGTCTTCCCGCAGCCGCGAACTCCTAATATGTGCAGAGTGCGTGGTTTCGGCAATTCTATACGGGGCATGCTCGAGGTTGTGTGTTCTGCTTAAGGTTGCGAACCGGTGTTAGGAGGTCAATCTGCCTCGCAGAGATCTGGGCAGAGCGATGCACCATGTCGTTGGAATTTGGGTTTTCATGCATTGAGAAGTTGGCTTCGTGGACCCGCTCCTTTGGCACCCCACCCCCTAAACCGACAAGGAGTTTGCTGCGACAGCGACCCCGAAAAAAACACTCTGTTTGTTGTTGCAAAAGCCCGGGTCCACCTTCGGGCCCCCCAACCTGCCTCAACTGCCGCCTCTGAGGTTGCCTCTTGGGAGTGGGGGAGGTGTAACGTACTTGGTCATCTGTACACTCCATCGACATATCGATGAGCTTGCAAAGAGGTCTCGACGCAACCGGGTCCTTTCGGGCCAACGAGTGGACGAGGTCAAGGCGGACATGTGCGTGTGTGTGTATGTATGTATATATATATATATGTATGTGTATGTGTATGTGTATGTGTATGTGTGCGTATGTGTGTGTGTTGAATTCGTGGCTGATGGCATTATTCTGTTTGTTATTAATTACTAGGTCTTCTTGCGGGCCTTGAATGATGAATGTTTCAAGATGGATGAACCTTCTTGTTCTTCAGAATCAGGTATGGTAATGGTGGTGAGATGTGGACTGCATCTTGCAATGCTGGACATTTCAGGATGGCTACTTCGGTGACTTTCTGAACAGACCCGGCATGTATGAATGTGATAGTCATCATTACGCTTCCTCTTCGCGATGTCTGACTCTTCTAGCGCAAAGAGGATGGCTAACGTAGCAATCTGCAAAGGAGTCCTTCTATGGCAAGCTATCTCCCTGCAGCATGTGCGGTCAAGATCGATGCCACAACTGCGACTATTTCCCGCCTTCAATGTTAGCAAACTACTCGTACTTCTGCGGCAGCAGTAGCAGCAACTGCATTTAGCTTTACAATTCGCGCTCGGTACATGTCTAATCGATCGAAACCATTAAGCTGCTGCGTGCCGCTTCCGAATCGCATTCCTTTTACTTGTATTATCATGCTGTGCATAGGAGAACCCGAGGCAGTAGCGGATGCAGCAACGCCTGTCCATACATCCAGAACCTGGAGAGTTCAGACAGCAGGTAGAGACCGCTTCACTGTCGAGGAGGCCGGATCGCATCCTGATCAGAGTGTGCTTAGGCTTTGCGTCTACGGGCTTGGGAGCGCACTCTGCGCAGTACGCGACATGCGCAGAAGCACGGATGGGTCGTGCCAGGATTGCTCCTCATTCCTTATATACTTTTAGCTGGTATCCATCAAGCTTGAGCATTCACCCGGCCGTGGGCCGCACGAACTCTTGGCCACCTAAACGCAGGGATCTGCGGTGTGGGTGGTGGAGGCTTTGGGGACGACCCTGGGGCCGGACCCGATGGAAAGACGTGGAAAGATGTTGTGAAGTCGGTGTCCCATTTCTAAGGCCTAAGGCATAGTATACACACACACTTTTTGGTATGTAATTGCATGCAAGCGTATGCAAGCAGCCAAATCCGATTGGAGCCACTCTGACTGTCCAGGCTTTGAACCTGCTATGCGAGAAGAAGGCAGCATGGCCGTGGGGAAGGGCCAGTGGCGGGCTAAACTTAGAGCTGCCCTGAAGACGGCAAATTAGGGAGCCTCAATTGTTTACAAGCCGTTTTTGTTCGGAGTGTCATGGTCAGATGCATCTCGAATACTTCCGCTAGCCCCAAACCCCGAAGTGCAAGAATTTCAAGACCGAGAGGGCCTGCACATGTTAAATTTCTTTGGGTGTCTGGGTCTTTCGACAATGCATGGTGGGTTCGGACAGCTACTGTAGACCTACACTGGCCATTGCCTGCATCTCTTGCTAGTTTGAGCGAGCTTGCCCCCCACATGCCCGATCATTCCACCTCTAAGCTGAGTTTGAGGAGTTTCAAGGTTCGAGTGGCTCACCTCCCTCACGCGCCCAGAGCCTGCCAGGAGCCCATCTGGAAGGGATCCCTCATCGGCGTGGTCCACGCCGCAGGCATTGGATGGCACTGGTGAAACTCTTTGCTACAGGGAGGAAGTTAATACAATGAGGGGTCGATAGCCCTAAACCGTGAACTTGTTTGAGGACTCCGTTTACAAGTTGGAAGTTCAGGACTAGATTTGAAGCTCCCTAGGCCCTAGAAGCCTCCAGGTTTGCCAAACTCAATGCAGACCCGAACCACAATCTCGGTCTTTTCGTTTTCTTTTTGGCTTCGCAGCTCCCCCCAAACAAGAGCCAACGCCCTGTAGGTGTGCAGGAGATGACGGCAATTAACTCCCACTTGCCCGGGAGATTCGAGTTCGTGTACGCCCCGAAAGTCCAGGCTGGAGCCAAAAGAGGGGCAGAGCGTACTTGGGGCTGGTCTCCGGCAGTTGGTAGGGATCCTTTTACACTTGACCCTTAAAGTCTTGTAAGGTGGCCAAATCAATATCCTGCGAGAGCTGTGAACTAGCGAAAGGGGTGGACGTGCTTGCAGTCGTAGCCACGAAAGAGAGAGAGAGAGAGAGAGGCACAGAGCGAGAGACATAGATGTCGGATGAGCATATATAAACCCAGCTCCTGCGAAACATGGCGGCATAATCCCACATGTGGGTTGCATCTCACAGCAAGCCCCAAATAAGGCTGCCAGATGTCACTACGAAGAAGCGGCAAAGCACTCGCCGGCCTGGAATCCGTCTTCTTTGCTCTCGCCACTGCTAGGCTGCATGGAACCTGCATCAGAACTCTGCGATGATTTAGCTGGAGGCGCCAGCGTGAGAAGCGTTGACACATAGCCGAGTGACTACCGCAGCATCCTCTTGCTGCTCTTGCTGCTCTTGCTGCTGCTGCTGCTCTTGCTGCTGCAAGCTAGATCAGCCTTGATTTCTCAGAATCCCGACGTTGAGGCCACTTTGCTTGCTGGCCCTCTGGCCAGGTGGAGACAGTGAGATGGCTGGAAGCGCCTCTTCCTTTCTGGAGTACTACCGTAGGAATCGGTCGGAGCAGGGCTTTAAGAAGATGGGTCCCAGAGCCTCCACTTCCACCCCAATCACCAAGGCTGTCATGCGACCCTAAACCCTATGAGGCCTCCGCCTTGGGAGCGCCTAAGACTCTCAATGCCTCAGCCCCCCCCCCCCCCCCCCACCGCATCTAGAAAGCTTCTCCATCGACTTCTCTTGCGTAAGGCTTCAGTCCAAAAGTCAGTGGACCCATCCAGCGCTTGAGAGGGTCCTGCCACACGCGGCTCGCCCGGCTCGCCCGGTCGCAGTGGAGAGTGTCAAAAAGGAGCTGTGCTTGCGCATGTGTGTGGGTGCGTGGGGGGATCGCAGAACTTGCACCCCTGACTGACTATGAGTGGGAAACCGAAACGTCAGCACTTAATGAAGGGCTTTTCAGATGCCTTTGTCTACAGAAGGCGTGACGTCGCTGCCAAGGCAGAGCGCGGAGCTGGTGTGGGCGAATCCGATGCTGCGAGCTGAGTGATGCAAAGGATCCGGGGCTCCAAGGGCTGCGTTTCATTTTTCTTCATACTTTTTTTCATACGAATTCTGAATGTCACGATGAGGCTTCATTCATGCTCCATGGCTTCCTGACGTCGTGCACCCGTACCCTCACCAATCCTTGGAATCGCCACCGATAGTGCATAATAGGCTTTCAAATTCGGGACCTCCGACTCTCAGGCACCGAACACCCAAGCCCCCCCCCCCCTCCCCCCGCTAAACCCCCCCTAAACCTCCCTTCACACTCCAATCTAGGGGTTTTCGAAATGACGGGGTACCTTGGTGTGGTCCTGATATCAGGGGAACCCTTCTAGTTGGGGGTCCACTTTAGGAACCCTCAACTCCAGACTCTAAACCCTCAAACACTAAACCCTCAGACCCCTAAGCGCTTATTTTGTAGACCCCCCAAAACCCTGTACCCTGATTTGCTTGAGGTGGCGACGGTGGTGGCCAAGGCCAAGGCGCTCATGGAGTCCAAGGCGACAGACGTGGAGGCCCCCCGAAGTTGTGGCTTCCGGAGCTTCAAGTGGTCAGAGCCGCAGATGAGAAGAGGGTTGGTAGAGGGTTTAGGTCGTGTGGTTTTGTTGTTGAATGTTCCTTAGATTGCCTACTTCATGTCTTTCGGAGGACTTGGGAACTGCGACCCCAAACCCCGAAATTCCCCGAGACCCCAAGGAGTCCTAGAAAACTTGACGTCCGGGAAGGCAGACATCGACGATGGCTTCGCAGCCAAGGCCGAGAACTGCTGAATCAACTCGATGGCTTTACTGTATCCAATTATTGACGCGCTTGGTTGTGAATTGGGCCCAGAAGCCTTGAGTTTCGGGGATGCGGGCTTTTGCGGATACGGCCTGCTTGTCCAGCAGCTGACGCTTTATTGCCCATCGCGGCCTGCTCGGATGATTGGAACTCTGGGTTCAGTCGTGACACGACCTGCTGCACCCAACGCCAACGCGAGCTCGCGTGCGCGCTATCAAACCTCGTCACCACTTGCAGGGTGTCAGCCACTGCGCAGGTCAAGAGCATAAATCAGTTCGTACCAACCAGACGCTCGAAACGTGGCGGCGTTCTTCTTCTATTATTCTTGGACAGAACTCCTGCGACGCTCCATGCGCGAGTGCAGTTGTGTTCCCTAAATCGTCAAGTCCTACGCTTGACCTTTTGTCCTCGACAAGGCCCCGGACAATACACTTGGCAAGCCCGAATTTCCAAGGCCCTATACAACCCGAAACCACTCGGTTGCCGGTCTTCCGACCTGCAAACCATAGCAACCAAACATAAGAATCATAAGAAGCTACCATGTCTTCCTTCTCCTCCTGGGACCTTTTGAAGCGCTCCATGGCCAGTTCCTGCGCCATTTCCACACGCCGCTGCAGCCCATGTCCGCCTTCCTCGGAGGCATTTGTGCACAGGAGGCCCACGGGGGTGTGTGGGGGGGCTTAGTAGGTGTCAACCAAATCTCCACCCTAAGGGATACGCTGTCCCGGGGCTGCTCAGTTCAGGTTGAGTTGTCCTCCGAGGTAGTTTCGAGCTTCGAGAATCGCCAGCTCCATTAAGATTCCGACTGCGTCCACTCTTGGAGATGCAAAGGGTCTCAGCGAGAGCCATGTTTTCATAGCAGCACAACCCTGTGTTCATGCCGTGGTGCGCCAACAGAGTCAGGGCTGTGCAGGTCGTGAAAGTCGCGGGCAAGTTTACGCCCATTCCTGGCTGGCTCCACTTCAACGCCGTGGAGGCCCACCCAAGGCTGCCTTAGGCATTGAGGCTTTTCATAGACTACAGGGAAAGATTGGATAGGTTCGGATGCTCTAGTTGTATACATTATGACTCATCTGCGTGCTGCCTTGCAGTGGCCTTTGAACTGAGCAGAACCCAGCGCTCTCAATTGACGTCTGCTGAGATGTCTGCCCCAATCATGACTTTACCTCACCCTCTAGAAGCCTCCCGAGTCTTCAATTTTCGATGCGCCCTCCAAGGAGATCTTTAAGCCCTTCAGGTACCGAACGCCACTGGCGCGTAACCATGGATGGAACAAGGTTCTCTCACAATGCACCTCCTACTGTAGAAACTACATTCTCACAATCCCAGTAAGCTATATTGGTATCAGTTTTCTTATGTGTTCACACATATACATATATAATATACTTATCTTTAAACTACGATAATATGTACATATATATAGATATATTTATTTATTTATTTATGTATTGTGTATATATATATATACTATATCTGTCTATCTATGAATCTATCTGTCTATACACACATAATATAGAACATGCAGGAGGTTATGAGCTCTAAGCCCTGAACCGCAACCCCTGAAGCCGCACAGGCCCTCCCCGAGTCGCCGCCAGAGGACACGGCGCCGCAGGGCAGCAGGTGCTTTGCCAAGGGATCTTTCGGGGTTGGGACGGGGTTTTGTGCTTTTGGAGGAATTGTCCGAGATTTGAGAGATTTTTTTGGGGAAGCCAGGGCTGAAAGCCAAGGTTGGACTGAGTAGGTCCGGTGCTGCTTCGTACGAACGAAAGCTGAAACACCCAGGTTCAAACCCGCGGCCGTGATTTCTGAAGTAGTTGGCGGCTGGGAGGTATGATGGCCTGGCGGCTGTGTATGGCCATGGCTTTGTGAAGAAGCTGCAGAGCCTCAAGCGCGAGCCTCGGCAACCTTCCATTGCCAGCTTCATTTGATCTTCCCGACCCTTCAAAGATCCGAGTCAGGTACTTCATGGTGGGCTGTGGCGCACTTGGGTGTGAGCCGCGAGCTTACTTGGGAAAGGCCTTTGCAAGTACGTCACGGGGATAGTGGAGTCTGCAGGTTCGGAGCCATTTTCCCATCCTTTTCTTGTGCGGCTTTATGTGTTCCCAAAGATCGGCTGTCAAGCTATGCTGGCATGGTCAAGCCCTTAGGCCCCAATCCTTATAATGATATGAGCACTAGATTCATGATAAGTAAGCATCACGGTGAGACAAGCAGGGCGTTGTTGTAATATAGGAAGGGGAAAGTAGTAAGTCGACAAGTCGAAAGTAATATGTAGTCTAAGTAGTAAGTTGTAAGGAATTGGTAGCTGGTAATACGCAGTAGGTGATAAGTTGTAGGTAGTGAGGAGCAGTGGTGGTAGTGGTAGTGGCAGTGAGTGGAAGTGGCAGTGGCAGCGGCAGTGGTAGGGGTGGTGGTAGTGGTGGTGGTGGCGGTGGTGGTGGTGCTGATGATGATGTGATTGTCACAATCCACCATTTGTGTGCTTTCTTTCCACGGTTTCGGATTTCTCGAGGTTCCTCAAGAACTTCGCCCTGAATGGCGTCTGCTGCGGGCCTCAGGGCTTGCTCACGGCCTTCCCGGCGGTGCTTCGCCCGGGCTGGGACTCGCTTTTGGGCTTTCTGACTTCCTTGCTGTGGGGTGTTTGGGGCTTGTGGTGAATAAGGTTGGGGTTGATGGGTCTAGGGCTCCGGGTAGAGGGACTTAGGGTGTAGAGATTCTGAAGGTTTGGTGACTCAGCCAGCCTATGGACAGTCTTCTTCCTGATCCCAAGCTGCTAGTTGCAATCTACTCCCATGGCTCCTCGCAGAGTTTGTCATGGCAACTTCCATTCCATGGCCGTCGGGACCTTCTGAACCGACATCCAGCATCGCATTTCTGGTTTGTAAGGGGCAAGTGAGTAGCACAAACCGGCGAAGCAGCTCTAGAGATTAGATTGGAGTGGCGAGGGTGGCCAGGTGCGGCCATTTCGATGTATCAAAAGCACTTTGGGATTCAGAAATCCGGGGAGAGTCTTCACCTGGAAAGCACCTCCCGGCTCGGCAGATTGAAGGAAGCTCTTTGCGTTCGCAAAGACCTCGGCCTGGCCGGGGTTGAAGCCGACTGCAGGGAATGCAGGGCTTTCCACCGGAGCTAAGCAGTATCACTCACGGTGCATCGTCGCGGCCGTCGCCGCGGGTTGGTTTTATGGGCAGCAGGAACTGCAACTTGCAGGGTGTCGAGTGAAGGTTCGGGCGAACATGCGCGCGAGGGCCGATGCGTGGATGCGTGGTGCCACATGAAGAAGGGACTCAGTGGACGTCGTCGGACGCTTAGCAGCCCTACGGACGAGTAGCAACGCTCAGCTTCAGGGTCTGCAGCGTCTCAAGGGGTGCCCATAAGATGCCAGGTCACGGATGCGGACCGCATCGAGCTCTCAAACCTAACCCGACAGCCCCTTGGTCGAAGCTCCGGAGCATGGGTTGCTTTTCGTCCCTTTTGCCGGCTGATCCATGGATGGTTACACCCTCCCCGCTGCCCCTTGCAGGTTCCTCTTCCGGGAGCACAACGTCGGGCAGCCGAAGAGCAAGGCGGCCACAGCCATGGCCCAGGCAGGGAATCGATTTCGGGGTCTAAGGCGACCTCGGGGCCCACGCGGTTGTCACTTGCTTGTCAGTTGCCGTGCTCTCGTTGACATGGCTTTCAGGATAGGTCTAGCTGGGGGAGGTGCACGCGCTGACGAGAAGCTGTATCTCTTGCACTGTCTGCAGACAGGTCATGAACCCCGGCATGAAGGTCAGGGCTCTGGAGATGTTCGTTGGGCCCAAGACGGAGGACGCACCATTTCGGTGATACTCGGGAACTACGCGTTGGAGGGTTCAGCATGGATGGCCCGCTCTCATGTCAACACCGTGAATTCCGAAGGACAGCTTCAATGACGACTTTTGGATGGCCTTGGATGGAGTCTGCAACGCCTTGGACAACATGGAGGCAGGATTCAGTTCAAGGCCATGTTCCTGCAGCATCTTGCAGCCATCCAACATGCAATTGTTATGAAATTTATGAACAACCCACGCGGTGCACAGCCTGCAGCTGCGTTAGACCGGCCTCAGAGACCGCAGTTTCAGCATCAAAAGGCCCGCTTTTATGTCGACGACCAGTGCGTCAAGTACGAGAAGCCTCTCTTGGAAAGCGGACCCTTGCCGAGCAAGAGCTTGTGATTGTCTGGGAGTCCAGTCTTGAGTAGAGATCAAATTTTGAATGTAAAGCACGCGCAGACTTCGGTTCTGTTCACGCTATAGTGTTGGGATCTCGTCGCGCCGAGCTTCGTTGGCGCCAGCGGATCAGTCTTGTCAGCAGCGGCACTATTGCCTAATGACATACATATATATATATATATACATACATACATATGTGTATATATATATGTACACATGACTAAAAATGTATATATGTATAAATGTATATATGTATACATGAAATATATCATCTTTTCATGATTAGTTATATAGAAGTTGCATACATAAAAAAGACATTTTTTTTTGCAGCCGGTCTCCTAAGGGACGATGGGCCCAGCTGGCAACATTGACCCCGTGGTCCCCTTCAAGACGCAGACGTGCGCAGTGCCAGTGCAGCCGCACAGACACTCAGCCACTCAACCGTTGCTACGGTACGTACCCTTGACGTGCACGTTTGGATCCTCATCCCAGTGGCGGCAATGCCAGGTACAAAGATGGCGGGCAAGCAGACGAAGGTGGCGGCATCCCCATGTGCCGAGCCCAGGCGGTTGCAAGGAACGAGTTGAGGCACTCATCGTGTGGGGCGTGATCACGTTTCTTGACTACAGTGACTTAGAGTCATTAAAAAGGCTCCATGAACGAAGAAATGCATAAAGCAGCCGACACTTGAAGCAGCCCTTCAGCGCATCTTCTGGTGCTCGCGAGCACGCGAGAGATTAAGTTTCTACGCGAGAGCTCTGGTCGCGAGAGCGCGCGATAGCTCGTCATAGTGTTTGGCTTTTTCCCACAAGTGCAACCCCTGTAAAACACGAGGGCGTCAGCCCGCGAAGCGACCTCCGAGGGAGAGGCTGCAAGAGCAGTTTCAGCGGATAACAAACAGTTCAAAGGGTTTTCGCCACAGCTCACTTGCGAGGTGGCCTGTGCACTAAGGAACTCTGAGGATCTTTTCGGCCCACCAGTCTTGTCTCTATTTTACACCATCGCCGTTTTTGCGTGCCGTTTTCACATTTTGCGTATATATATATATATATACTTAGTTATCTATTTATTCGTTTTTCGTTTATTGATGTATACATATACATATACATACATATATACACACATATGTGCATGCATATGTACACAGACACATATACTTTCGATTCAGTCATTGATTATGTGCAGCAGATACAACAAACCCTGTCAGACTCCAAGGTGCACCTTGCGGAACTTCCCGCACCTCCCCGACCACTGCATCGAATGGGTACGCTGATCTTGGGAGTTGTAGGGCTTAAGGTTTGGGAGGTTTGAGGCTAAGGCATCGGGCTTTCCGGTTGAAGTGCCTGTGCTGAATCAGGTTTTCGATTTTTTTGGTAGGGACTCTAGTCCCCCCACTAATTTGTTGGATGGAGTTGCTATTGTGCAGCCTCCAAACGTTCATCTGGACTCGAGCCATTGTGTCCTGAACAGGGCGGTTTTCAGCTGCAAGGCAAGATTGGTCAATTACTTGGAGGGAAGAACCTCGGATGTTTTAATTTTGGTCAGAGGCCCTGGTGAAGTGCCTATACTATACACATCAAGTCCCTCCGAGCTAATCAGTCATAGGTCGCCAAGCCCGAAGATCGAGCACCTGAGCTGCGCAAACCACAAATTTGCAGTCCTAGAGACAGCCTTTCCGACCATGTAGTTCCATGTTTTAGGGACCAAAACTTCATATACGTATACAAAGCCTAAAGTCACAAACTTAGGAAACTTCTGCAAAGTAAGGGTCCAGGTAGGCTTGTCGCCAGGCCAGGGACCAGTTTGAGCTCTTCTTCGTGAAGTCCGTAAAGCAGCTGAAGAAGTTTCATGAGGAGCAGCCTTGGGACCAAAACTGCGGAAAACGCAGTGATGTGGCTCAGGTGACCCAGAGTTGTCCATGCTACGCCCCAGGCTTATAGCGGGTTAGGGCCTATAGGGTTGTGCTGGCTATGTTGGGCTTTTTGGCCATCGTGTAGCAGACAGGACCCTGGGTCATTCATCTCGGAGATCGGCTCCAGTACGGATGTCACCCAGTCCATCTTCGAGGTGCCGCTTGCAGAATACGTATGTGTGTAGTGTTTCTGCATGTGTGTCTCCATACACGTATATGTGCGTAAGGACGAGAAGACTCAGACTTGGGCGCATGCTTGCTTGTCATGTGCTTATGTAGCAAGAGCACAGCCAGAAAGTACATGTTGGGGTTCCTGGCTCTTTTTGTAATGTACTGTGGACCTTGCATGCGCATCTGACCGCTTAAGAAACCGGATGTGACTACGATTGGTCTGCCTCCCAGCAAAAAGCAGGCCAGGCCATAAAACCCTGTCACCCGAAGCCCTCAAAAACCTGGAGGTGAGAGGGCTCCTCTCCCTGCTGACGGCTGCCTCCGCGCCCAGCGTCCGAAGCGCTGGGCAGAGCGCTTTCGGTGAGGGGCCCTGGCATTTGATCTCTGTATGAAGGGGGCTTCAGGAGTTTTGGCGACTCTTTGGCTCCTGACGTTTGAGAGGTTTTAGGGATCTCGGCTGTTTAGGTTTGGCTGTCTGCTTTCAGCATCTTTGTATGTTTTGGGCCTTTGGAGCTTTCGGTCATTATGTGCTTTCCTTTCGGCGGCCGATTCAACGAGGTTTTTTCTCGATGTTGATGCTTTCGGGTTGGACATGGTGAGCTTGTGAAACCCTTTGCCTGCACAAGGCTTGAGGCGTAAGCTCTCTTCACTCCTGTAGCCCTGAGAAGCTGTGGCTTAAAGTTTTCCGACAGCTCCGAAATCTTCAGCCAAGCCCACAAAGTCCTCAGCCCTTAACCAAACTTTGAATCTTCGAAGTCAGCCGCCTCAGACTTCTTCCACCTCCTCTTCCGGGATAAGATCCTGGATCTCACCGCGGCCTTTCCGGCAGACGCCCGGATACTCGACCCCGAGACCAAACAGGCCGGCCCCTGGGAAGTTCAGGGGCGCTTCTTTGCATGCTGCGTGGGCTGTGGTTGCCGTGGTCTTCTAAAGAGCGAAGATTGCGGGGAGCACTTACAGTCTTGCCCACGAGCCACTGGGCCCCCTTACAATCCCGGGCCTAGAGAGAAGTGGGTGACCCCAAAGAACGCTTTCAAGAATGCATGTGTAGACATTTTGAACCCATTTTTCCTTGGACCAAAACTTGTGCCCTGAGTAGCCTGAGTGAGGACAAAGGTGCCTTCTGGTCAGGCCACAAGAGGCACAGAGGGGTGGGGAGGGGGGGAGCGCGTGCTCAGTTGGCGATGCTGGCATATATATGATAGTCTTTAAATTAAATGAAAGATATTGGTGCCCATGTCTCTATGACGGGAGGTTTCCTCAGGCCACGACCTACAATCCGGAGAACGAGACGCACTGGCGATTTCTGGCCCCTTGCCTTGCTTTTCCTAGCCCAGAGATAGCCTACACATGCATACAGCGATTCGTCGATCCAGGTTTCCGCCACTGCCCTCTTCGCGGCCATGCTGGGTGCTGTTCCCGCGAAGACAGAGGGCGACAACTCCTGGTGCCAGGCTTCGGGAGCAACTACTGTATACATCGTGACCAGCTGGCAGGTAAGATGGACAGACTGCTGTTTTAGGCCGGTATGGCAGTATATGGGGCTGACCAGGGAGTTTTAAATGCAAGAGGCACGGTAGGCGCGGGGCCATGTCAGTTGGCGGTTCTTTTGCTGCTCGCGAAGAGCTCAAGTCATTGCACATCCCTATATGTAGTAGAGACTGAAGCCAGCAACCGTCCGAATACAGAGTGCCAAAAAGTATTCACGCACATACATAAAATGAATACTTACAGGCAGGTATGCATACATGATGATTAGACACACATAAGATGCGAGCTATAACCCAGGAGTTTTCAGGGTTTTGCTGAGTTGCAGCAAACCCCCGCGCCCAACACTACACCCTCAACCCATGGAGGGAGGGAGGGAGGGAGGGCGAGCAGGGGACATGGGAGAGGAGAAGGGAGAGGAGAAAGGAGAGGAGAAAGAGAGAAACAGAGAGCGTCAACACTGTGTGCAGGACATGCGCTCGAAGAGTTGGGCCGCGAGTTTGTCCAAGGCAAGGCCTCAAGAGAAGCGCCTGAGGGGCTCAGGGTGTTTCAGGGTCCTGTGTTCATGATTCATGAGCTTGGGTTGCTTTGGGTTCATCCTGCGTTCTCCATGTCTTCCAGGCCTGATTGGGAGACGGCAATGGGCCTCGTCAACCAATATAGCCACACTCGCAGGCTTCTTCATTCGATGACATTGGGTCTTATGGTGTTTGATCCCAAGCCACCGTTCGAAGGCCCCTGAATCCGAGGCCCCTGACAGTCGATGTTCTAATAGGTTCTAGGGGCCACTTCGGCGTTTCACCCCCGTCCTTGAAAGCCGCGAGGAGCTGGCCGTTCCAGAGTATGTCGCAGGCGGGGTCAACATGGATGGCCGGGGCGCCCAGAGCTTGCCTTGATCTGGATCGCAGCTTTTCGTTGCACTGGAGTGGCCATCGAACTCATGTTGGACACGGCGAACGCCACGACCGAAGCCACAGCTTTGAAGCAGGGTTCGGCAGAGCGACATCCACTATTCTTTTAAAAAACAAGAACCAGCCCAACCTCGCCACCAAAACCTAAAACCGAGCTTGAGGTGATGCCACTGCAGGCGACGTGACAACTGGGGTCAAGTCTGACTCCAAGGCTGGGTCGAATGCGTGGTGAACCGGTAGAAGCAGGAGCTTTGAAAACGTTGAGGAGTGCCACAATGCTTTTGATCTGAACACGAAAACTCCGTCACAACATAGTGACAGAGTGATGACGAGCTACATGATGAGGGTCCACGAGGGTCGCCGCCATCTTGTTTGCAACGTCGGTCATTGGTTTGCGGCTGGCATGGTCAAGCGTGGAGTTCACTTACAAGTGTGCAAGTGCATGAAGCGTCAGATTTGGAGGCTGTGCTCGCGGGGCTGCTGCAGAAGCTGGAGGCGGATGCAGCAAAGGGCCGTTCAGCGTGTTTTGGTCTCCCTTTTGTGACAAGCTAATTAATCAGCTGAAGCCCTTGTCACGTCACAGGCCTTCAAAGGCAAGGCGCTGCCGGCACTGGAGGAAGCGGATTTCGAGAAGGATCCGGCTTGAAAACGCAGCCATGCCATGTGCAACCCAGTCGAAAAAAGGGGTTGTATCAGTTGTCAGTTGTATGTATCACATCCCTCAAACCACACCTGCGAAATCTGCATCCTCCCCAAGTGCCCGTCAGCTTATACATGTCACCGCGATTTCTTCCGAATGTTTCGTTGACATGTCGTTGTTGAGGGTGTAAAGGAAAACTGGAAGCTGGTGGTACCCACTATTCTCACTCATTGGACAGACTTGCGACGCTTCCTGCAGGACGACGACTTTAACTTCCACATCGAGTTCATCACCCGCTGCGCGAACCTACGCGCGGACAACTACCACATTGCAAACTCTGACTTCCACAAGGCTCACCTTCTAGCACTCAAGAGCAACATCTGGAGAACACATTGCGCATTTTTATGAACGCAGTTTAGGATTTTTGGCCATCAACGTGCATTCTGCATGACATCCCGTATCTCATGAAAACTAACTGGCGGACTTATGAGATCTCTGACACTGAAACCCTTATCTCTGACCCCGAGTATCCTTGGAGAAACAGGGCACCCTGTTTGACTGAATTGGGTTTATGAGGGATCTGAAAGAAGGGAACAAGCGGCCCCACTGGGCAGCGTAGTTTTTCATCTCGAACCTGTCCAGAATTCAACTCGATGTTTTGCCAGGTCTTGGGAAAAGAAACAGTTCGTATACATGTAAACATTCTGATACATTCCAACTGGCACGATTTAGGTTTGAAGTACATCCAAACAGAGATCGCAAAACAAATGGCTCCACCAAAATAGCAAACCACTTCCAATTGGGTTCTATTAAGGGTGTGCTCAGCAGCAGCAGCAGCAGCAGAATTTCTTCAATTCGCGCGAAGGTGAAGCTAGTTGCGGGACGCATCGTCCCTGCCATCGCCACCACCACTGCCGCAGTGTGCGGATTAGCCCGAGGCTTTACTACAGGTTTTTTGCGTCTTCGGCGTCTTGTTCGTAGAGAGGCTGTCAGAGATCCTTGCAGCCTCAGAGACTCAGAGACACTCAGAGACACAGGCATGTCAACGGGACAAGAAGTTTCATGCCTCGGGATTGGAGAAGAGACCCTGAGCCCCACATACCCCAGGAGCAGAACCGAAACACAGACTTAAACCTACGGTTCAGTGTTACAGCTTTGCCCATGCGCTTCATCTCGCCCTTTCGCCGGGGGAAGCCTGCGGCGGGTGCTGCGTCCTCTGCGGACGACGCTCTGGCAAAGGTCTTGGGGATGTCACTGGAGTCACATTAAGGGCTAAGCGGCTAATAACCATTCGTCAAGTAAGCCCTCAGCCTTATGCACTAAATCCTTGCAGCGTGTCAGCAACCTGTAAACTTGCACCCCAGTCCTCTGATGAATCTAGAACCATAAATCATAAAGTCGTGGATCCTTAATGCCAAGTCCCAAATGCTAACCGCAAGTGGACCTTGGTTTCGATGCATGTCGTCAGATACCAAGTCCGCTTCAAGTTTAGACGGATCCTGTAAGCTTGCTTCGAGCATCATCTGAACCCTTGGTGTCGATGTTTATCATGCTCAAGTGTGGCATTTCTAAGCCGGATCTGTTTCTCTGGTGGCAACCCGCTAGTTCCGCTCATGTTCTAGGCCGCTTTCCTTCCAGCCGTTTTTTGTCTGTTGCCAGCAGCCAGTAGTAGTTTCGATCACAATCTGAACACCCTCATCTCATCGAGACTTGCGCAGGGCTTCTTCCACTACTGTTATTTCGTGGCCTTCGAAGTGCCACAGAAATACGCACACAATACGGACACGCCAAATCGTTCCTTCTCAAGCTGGTTTGATGTCTTCCGCAATTGGCTTTGCCTTGAGATTCGCCCTGGTCGTGTGCGCAGCGTGTGGTGGGGGCGGGGTTCAAAGAAAAGAAAGAGAAAACTTTGACAACACAACGAATAACATCGCGGACAACAAGCAGCCATCGGTCAACTACCGTGTAAACCCTATATATATATATAAACTCTATATATACATTATATTCAAACCCTATTAATATACCCTCGATAAACTCTACAATTTACAGGCCTTATAAATCCCATCAACACTCTCTCCCACAAGCCGCATAACGCCCCATAATCCCAAGGACGGCCAGGAAATTCTGGAGGCCGAAGCCCGCGAGGCGGCCGCCTCCGCGGAGCGGGCGGCACAAGAGGCACGGGAGGCGCGAAAGGGCTTCTAGAGCGGTTTGGGGGTTGAGGGTTTATAAGCTTTAGGGTTTGGGGGTTTTGGGGCTTGGAGTTCAGCGGGTTTTGCGGTTTTTTTTCGTTTATGGGGTTCGGAGGGGCGGGGGGTTAGTCTAAAACTAGAAGGAAGCAAACCCCTCCCCGGGGCGGGCCTCCAGAAGCTGGCGCCGAGACTTTTCTCGCAACGCTCGATCCACATACTCGTGTGCCTGCGAGAGGGCATACTGGGGGTCAAAAAGGGGGGAAGTTCCCGGAACCTTCAAGCTTTACACTGGTTCCGGTTTTCTTCCTACTATACAACAATCCCCGCCACTCTCTTTAAAGGTGAGCTTCAGCTCACTTTTGATGGTTCTCCACCAGCTTTCAGCTCGGAGAGGTTTTGTGAGGATATCAGCAAGTTGGGCTTCCGTCGGCACCCAGACAATCTTGCCGATGGACATAAGGTCTTCCCTGATTCCTGCTAGGTCTATGGCTAACCTCTTACAAGTCGGCACTCTAGGCACCCCATCTTTGACAAGGTGATCGTACAAGCTCCTGCAGTCGCTCAGAAAACGTAGCTCGAAACGTGACTTCTTCCTGGCCAGCTTTCCGATCAGGAGGGTCTCCATGAACTTCGTGATGTAGTCGCCTGTTTCGGTCGCCGTGCAGCATGCCATTGTTTCTGCTGCAAAGGTCGAGCGGCATACTCTGTCACAAGCGCCACTCCGCCAGTCAACGATGCTCCCTTTGCTAGGAACTCCGCTCAGGACGCCGGAGTCTGCGAAGATGTACACACTTCCAAGCTGAGAAGCGATAGTGGAGTTAGCGCGCTTGGCCTTGGCATCTCGTCGACTCATTGCTCCAAACTGTATCAAGCCGTGGTCGTCTTCTTCTGCCGTCAAGCGATAGTACGGGTCCTCCTGGTTCTGCGGAACGTTGGCCCACCCAGCGTCATGGTAGCACAAGAGCACCGCCCGGTTGAGGTCGATCGGGTGGAACAGCAGCCCTTCATCTTTGAACTGCAGGGCACGGTTTGCCAACTGGTTGGTGAACTTTGTCGGGCACGGTTTGCCAACTGGTTGGTGAACTTGACATCGGCTATGGTCGGCTCTTTCTGTCGTTGCTGACTCATCGACACTCCAACCTGAAGGTCGGGACGACTTTGACTTGCAAGCCACGACAAAGCCCCGATGAGAGACATATTGTCGTGCTTCTGGACTTCGGAGGCCTCCTCGTGCTCGGCTACCCCCTTCTCGATCTCGACTTCGAACAGCCTCGTCCCGACGTAGCTGGACTGACCCACCTTCACATACTTCTCGAAGATCTGGATGTAGGACCCCACATAGTCGAAGCTTCCGGACTCCCATTCCTTGATAGGAAAGATCTTGCTCAACTCGTCCTTTATCATCGAACAGACATCGTCCTGGCCAATCAAGAGAACATCGTCGACATGAACCCCCAAGTATCCGACTGGGGGGGACAGAGCTTCTTCGCCAGGAGTTTCTCCAGGAAGGACCTCTTGGACCATGAAGATGCATTGATCCAATGTGCATTGCACTATCCTCCAAGTCTTCCCTTTCCGCTGGATCTCCATGTTCTTGAGCGTGCCATGGAACTTGGTCCACCAAGCCGACGGCGAGTCGACTAGGCCGAAGATGGGCTTCCGAATCCTCAGAAGTTGTTCGGGATGCAAATGACCCAAACCGGTGCGGGGTTGACGGAGATATAATTCACGAGAGAGCTCTCCTCCGCAAAGAAAAGCTGCTGTCACATCTCCTGCGTGTCCAGTCCACCCATTCTCCAGGTTCGAGGCAAGGATCTGTAGGAGGAGGTGGATTCCCAACCGAGATATCGTGGGAGCATGAGTAGGGAGGCCCTTCAGGAGGTCGGGGTCTTTGTGCCCACTTATCACTAACCTCGCCTTGTGCTTCCAACCGACATCTGGTTGTTCACGACGACGACTCCACAGTTTATCGCGGTAAGCGAACCTGCTGTTGAGGACCCTGTCGCTTCGAGTTCTCCAAACTTCACGGCTTTGTTCCACCGTCAAAGGCTCCAAGGCACCATGCTCAACATGTTCTTCCCACTGTTTCATTTCTGCAGCTCGGAATCCTTCATGTTGTTCTGGCGGGATCATGTTCCAGGGCAACTCTTTCTCCAGGGCCTTTTCCTTTGCCCTAGGGGTTTTGGGGAGCTTGAGCATGAGCACATCCCTGACCCGATCATCTTCGCGAGGGGGCCCTTTCGTTCTGTGTCGTTTGGATACCTGAGGAGGGGGATCTTCTGATGCACGTCTCCGATCACCATCGCCAAGAGACACAGAAGCACCTTCTCGTCCATCTCCTGGATGTAGAACTGGTTCTTCATCTCCCTCATCATCTCCGGCATACATCTCCTCGTCTGCGAAGTCGTGCTCCAAGAGGCGTTGCAAATCCTCCTGTGTTGCCCGGAGGGCGAAAGCCGCCCCCAGCTCTTCTCCGCTCGCCATACGGAGATGTTCTGGTGCAACGAGATGGCACCTCCCGGAAAAGGATACCCAGAAGTTCGGACCTTCTCTGCCAATGATCACTCCTGGACCATGCCATTCCCAATTCTTGTTGTTCTTGGGCTTCCGATAAAAGAAAACGTGCATCCCAGTCTGGAACTCGGGCCCCGCCACTCTAGACCGTTGCAGCAGAGCACGACGTAGTCTGGCATCATTTTGACAGCGGAAGTAGACCTCTTTGGCGGACACCCGGAGGGAGTGTTCACGGGCTCGTTGTCTGTCTCGGCTAAGGATGTGCTCCACGTGTTCGTCGTGCGGGCCATCCTTGAGGTCTTCGGGGAGATTCGGATCTCGACCCCAAACAGCCTGGGAAGGGCTATAACCAGAATCCCGTCTCAAAGTGTTCATGGCGGAGTTCACAGCGGTGAGGAGCATGCCCGACTCATCGATGGTGCCAGAGCGCTCGTCGACAAGTCGCGACCACACCTCCTTCCAGGTTCTAATGCATCTCTCCACGGACCCCTGCTGCCAGTGAGCTTGTCCTGCAATAGGTCGGATGAAGGTCCCATGCCACTCGCTGAACCTTGCCAAGCCCTTCTGGAGCCCGGATTCGAGGTCCAAAACCATGGATCCAGGAGCTCCAAAAGTGTTGCTCCACATCTGACAAAAAGTCCCTTCCATCGCCTCTCCAGAGTGCCCTTGTAGTTCTCCAGCGATCGCATAGCCAGTACCGATATCAATTGCCATCAGCAGCTCAAGCTTATCCCCGTGGCAATCGTACACGGTGAAGGCATCCACAGCAACGACTTGGTTGAACTCCAGAAGGTTAGGCATACTCGATGGTTTTGCGCTGCCCCCCCTCTTGTTCCTCTGGCAAACTTGGCATTTGATCTTCTTGCAGGCCTCCACAACGACCGGGTCGGCCCCAGCTAAGCGGAGATGGCGAGCGAGATCGGAGTTGGAAGGATGGCCCATGTTCTGATGGAGTCTCTTCAGAGAAGAACGAACTTCCGGGGCAAGCTTGTGGTCGCCCTCGAAGGTGATAGCTTCGGCTCCTCGTGGGACTTCGTCGATCTCCTCAACGGTTGTCTTCTGTCCTTCGACCATGTAGGACTGGAACTCCTTGACAGGGAGATCAATGTTCTCCCAGGGCACATGATGGTAGTCGTTGAAGCGTAGGACGTGGGGTTCATCTTCTCTCGTTGAGTACCTGCCCTCGAACTTGTAGTAGAAGGAGACGAAGTCTTGTTGCACCCAAAAGGGATCACCACGTTCTGCCTCAAACACCACGTTCTTCCCAAGCTCTATTGCCTCTTGGAGAGCTCCACCAATTTCCGGAAGGAATGCGGACACAGCGGGGCCATGCACCCACACCACAGCGGGCTTGAAGTATTCAATCGTTCCTGACACTTCACTCCCATTCATCGTTCCATCTTCTCGAGTGAGTAGAGGCTCTGCAGTGTCGAAACCCATGTCTCCGACCTCCACAGTTTTAGAAAACCCCCCAATCTCGAAAAGGCTCACAGCCTCGCGACCTCTGGACAAGGGGAAGAACTCGGTGGACCAATTGAAAGCAGCAGTCGAGCACCAGCT